TTTTTCTAAGTTTCTTCGGAGCTCTGTCAACTTATAACATTTAAACGGTAACGTATAAATTTAATTAACTTTCTAAATTAAGAATAATTATGCTACACAAAGTTTCACAAGTCATTTGCGCTCTGGAAAATAATAATAATATATTTAGTAAAATAACACGAACAAAAATGTTTTCAAAAAAAAAAAAACACTACAAAATTTCAATCATTTTAAGAGATAAGTAAAATGTTGTAAGTAATATGGTGTTGTTTACTCTTAATATAGAAAATTCTTAGAGATTTAACTTTTTTTGGAAACTCAGTTGTCAGAGCATAATGTGTATAACCAATAGATAAAGATAAAAAATAATATAATAAAAAGTTTCTATCTGCTTCAACTGATATATCAAAACAAACTATGTAAAATATAAACTCTTGACCTGTAATTTTAATAAAAGCGTACAAACGTACCAATTTTCAAAAAACGAGGTCTACTATGTACTTGGTATACAATTTTGTCGTAGATTATCGAAAGAGATAACGGAAAAAATCCTTTGTAGTTAACCCATAAGAATACATTTTTTATTTTGCTCTCCTGTACATTTTCCTGAAAATCTATTGTAGCCTTTTGATTCTTATCATACTTATTATACTTTATTTGTTTCTAATAATACAGGATGCCCCAAAAAGACCTGACAAATTTGTATAACCTGTGATAATTTATTGGGTGACATTGTTATTATACTAAATAATCGGTGTAACTGTAGAAACCGTGTGCGTGCGCCTTATTATTGCGTGTTGTGGCAATCAACCGTGCAGAGGTGTCGTTATGGAAATCAATTTTCGACGTGAAAAGACATGTGCACAAAATAATATATTCATGATGAGTATTGTCGATTCTGATTAAAAAAAAAAAAACTTAATACCCAGAATTTCACCCTTTTTTTTTTTTGGTTTTTTTAAGCGTTTTTATTGAAGAACCCAATTTGAAATTTACACGTTTTATGTAAAATTATCTTGGATTTCTGAAAAAGATATTAGCAAAATTCTCAAGTTTTAAACAACACGAAAACACCAACTTTTTAGATTAAAAATTAAATTTTAACGACTTTCTGTCACTCGAAAAAATACCAATTAATATTTTTTTTAGAAAGCTGAGATAATTTTACGCAAGAAACTGATTTTTAATCATTTTTTTTTTATGGCTGAAGATTTTTATCCCTCCTAGTGGAAAGGGTTTATGATATTTTTTTGGTTTGTCAATGTTTACCGGTAGTACTATGTTTGAAGACTATTCCATAAAAATTTGGATCTAATTCAAATATTTTAAGTTGAAAAATATGTACATTTTTTGGGTGTTTTTTTCGATTTTGAAGGGACAAGGGTGACTTTTTTTTAATTTAGAAAAACCACCGTACATCAAATAAATAGGAAAATATTTTTAAAAATCTTCAAAACCATTGAGCTTGAACATTTTTAATGATGAGTAAAATATTATGATATTATGTAATTTGAATTTATCTATTGATCTGTATAGTTGATAAGGATTATACAGTGCAGTGTTTAACAGCTTTTGAAAAAGTATGTATTTTTATTACAAGCGGTCACACTGTCGCTCGCCTTATTGATTACTTTGTGGCTGAGTACAGGAAATTGTATTATTATGATGTTTTAGCTCTTAAATCATAGTCTTGGCCAAATTTCTTTGGTCACCTTTCACTTACCTACAGCTAGCATTATATTATTAAAAAAATACATTTTTAGGATTTGCCCCTACCCTGTCTGTACACATTTGGTAATAAAACATATTTTAATACCTATTTAGCACAAGATTAAATATTAAACAATTTTTTTTTTTTAGAATGCGTTTCATTTTTATGAATGTGAATGCATTCATTGTGGAAACGAAGATAGGTGAATGGGAATACATTACTTTTTAAAAGGAATTTTCCAAACACTGCATTGATTATAATGGGGTATTGTCCAAAATTATCAAACAAACATTCATAAACATATTAAAAATGTTAAAAAGCAAAGTGTTGTGTGTAATTTTAAATCTAATATTATTTACTTTTATCTGGTAATTTTATACTTAGGTATGTAACTTTTGCAAAAGTTAGTTCTTTCTAGTGAACATGTCATTTTACCAGAGTATATACCTACTGACAATGATTGACACTACTTTTCTTTTGAAATGCTCGATATTTAAATCATACTTGCCGCAATCACGTTCTAATTTAGTTTTAATTTTGTCCTATGAATTTCCTATTGTTATGGTTTTGGTCGTAGCACATTTTGACAATAACCCACAAAATAAGCAACAATTAAAATATTGTGATCTTTATTTGGCTGCAGTGTACCTTTGAACGATGGGCATTTAATGGCAATGGCCTTTATAACCCATAGTCAAGTGGCTCTGAAGTCTACTCAGGCAAATATGCAAATGTGTGCCACACCATCAAACGGGTAATTTATTTCCATCAAAATCAAGAAAAATACTATTATAATCCGAACGAAATGTATGTAATTTAAAGTAAAATACTTTTCCGCAGTAAGCTATTATTGTTGTTATTAATTTAATGACAATATAGATAATTATTTGTTTATGTGTCCAATGTAAATATTATACCCATATGTATATGCTTGACCGGGTCATTTATCCAAACAATTAAACCGATTGCTTTTAGATCTACTATTTCGGTTAAAAAAAAAACGCATTTCGCTTATAGTTATACTTAAGCTAATTAAAAAAAAAAAACATTTCATTTCACACCTTTGTTTACCTAAAGTGTATACACAAACAATATTCTATTACTGCAAATTATCGCGAAAACAACATCGTGCATCGAGTAAGAGGAAAGAAAAAAGGTAAATAATTTCTATTAATAGTTTTTTGATGGCTTTTAACAATTAGGCACCTATTGAAAAAGACATAAATAACAAACAGCCAGCACAGTGAGATCGGGGCAAAGGTCCTTATAGCAATTATTACAGCTGGAAGTGATCAAAACAATTAAAACGCTTTGACACAAAACTATATTATATAGACAGTAAAAACTACTAAATGTGACTAATTCTGAGTGTAAATTATTTTATAGAAAATAAATTTGTTTATAATGTTTGATTTTTTTGGTTAGGTCAGGTTAAAAACGGGAGAAACGGCAATTTTTCTTAATTTACAACTTTAACAAATAAATGTACAACGAAATCCATAAAAAAACAATATCATATATACAATTTCCTCAAAAATCTGAAGTCAAACCTTTTTTTTTTTTACTATGGAAACCCCAAAAAAATAGGGGAAAATTACACTTGACAGTAGTCAGCTTTTAGGTTGCTATGTGTGGTTTATATATACTACCCACAGATTCGCATCGAAGCGTTTATTTAATTAGGTTATACAGTTATAAACGTTAAACCTATTTCAACAAATTTAAAAAAAGAGCATAATTTTTGCCTAAGAGAGATATTATGTCTTCGACCAAACTATTTTTGTGGGGAAACGTGATGTAATAAAAATGATAAAACTTTGTCCGCCATGGTTGATGTATACCTATAACGAATGGTCTACTACTTGGCAAATCTCCATAAAAAAATGTCTATGTTATATCCTTATGCATTTGACAAAGAATAGAATGTTTAGATTTTGAAAAGCAAATATACTTGGTATAGAGTGAAATCGAGTATAAATGTTATCAAGGTTGGTAATAAATATTGCTTATTACTATATACCATCTGATGATGATTATGTTAAGTGCAAATTAAAATTAGTTTGTGAATCTTGCAATGAAGAGGCGGTCACTTTGGACCAACAGTGGAGGAATTATCCTTTTGAGAAAAAGACAAACCGAGTAATAGGTAGTATACAAATTACAAAGGAATGGATTACTGTGTTTTGTAGTATACTATTGATTTAAAAAAAATGTTATTCAACTAAAAATTGGACATTTACTGATTATACAAATTTAATTTGGTTAATTTGATTAAATTTATACGGTTGAAAATCATAATTCTCAATGAGATTTGTTTACTTACTTGTCTTAAGATGAATGTTTGTCACACTCTGGAATGTCTTTCTTTTTGGTCACTTGACTTTGATTGTTGATTTTAAGTTTAAAATGTATTGATCAATTCTTTTATGCCAAAACGATATTTCTGATACATTTTTTTTTAGAACCTAAACAGCTGAAGGTGAATAATTTCCATTTTTTAAGTATGCGCTCAAGCCTAGGCCTTGCGTCGAGAGAAATTAAGACAAATATATTTACTTGTTTCTTCTAATTGCCTACTTAAAAATAAACAAATTATTATACAACACATAATGAGAATTATGTGATTATAGTACCTACCTAACAAGTAATATAATCAAATAAATACAACCTATACTTTTTTATTCATTATCGCATATCAACATATACCTCCTAGTAGTAATAACTAAGAGCGTAGCCATTATAATATTATAGTCTGAATAAATTGGGAGGTTACTCACATTCAGTATCGAAGTCGGAATTTTCAATTCTTAATAATTGTAAGTCTTATTTTAACTAGTAATTTGCGCGAGTCACTCTGCCTTAGTGAGACATAACAATTTTTTTGTTTAGAGTATAGAAAAACAAAATAGTTTAACATTCAATTGTGGCTGTACCGTTTTTTTTAACCAAACAAATTTGTTTATCAATTAATCAAACAAACATATTATTATACTGCCAGTCACTTGTTGGGGGTTATAACATCAGAAGTTACAATTTCACAAAATTTGTTTTCGCTATTTTTAATAGTTTTTTAAGTTTTAATTTATAAATATAAACCTTATTGTTATTGTAAAAAATTAAATTTAAAAAAAAACGAATTATGTACTATTTACCAAGTACTCGATAATTAGATAAACACTACCAAGGCTACTATTATTGGCATTGAAGTTTTAAGTTTTTCACTAAAGAAAGCTTATTTAAAAATTGAACTATAAAAATTGCCCAGGATTGCCATCTAGTAACCATCTACTCTATCTATTCACAGGTATCAAACCGCCATTATTTGCTTTAATTTCATTATATTGTATACTTTTGAACAATAATATATCAATATAATATATTTTTCATAATAATATAATAATCTTATGATAATTATTATATAATAAAAAAATAATAATAAGTAGGTATATCATTGTTCCACTGCGGCATTGGCTGCAATACTTGGATTGTTGATAATTTCTCCCAAACATTCGAGCAATTCTTTTCTATAGTCGTCAAAGTCTCCGTCTACTTCGTTTATAGTTTGATCTTCTATTACCCAAAGAGTACAATCCGTGTCTCTTATCAATCGTTCGTCGTGGGAAACAATTATCACACCTGTTGATTAAGTGAATTTTAAATATTAAAAAAATATACATATACACATACAATTTTATTTTGTTGTTTACAACACGATAGTAGTAAGCTGTTATTCTCACCTCCTTTGTAATCGTTAATAGCATCGGCTAACGCATCAATGGATTCAATGTCCAAATTATTGGTGGGCTCGTCCTGTGTAACGTGAACACAATTAAAACGAAACAAAGGTAAAAAAACCGAATCATAAACAATAAACGAACCAATATAATAACATCGGGAGCGTTCAAAGTGAGTTCGGCTAAAGCGACACGTGCTTTTTGCCCACCGGACAAGTCTTTCATGCGAATTATGTGTGCGTGACTGGCCAAACCGAAAGTACCGAGTTGCTTCCGAGCTTTTTCATAGGGCAAGTTGAACAATCTCATTAGATATTCTGCTGGCGTTTCTTCCGCAGTCAAATGCTCGCCGGAGTGTTGATCGTATTTACCCAATTTCTAAAAAAATATTATTTCTCCATTACATTACATTACAAATAGGCACGTGCAAAATAAAAAAAAACGTTACCATTCTGTGGTTCATTTTCATTTCTCCTTCGGTCGGTTGCAGGTCGCCGGTTAGCAGTTTTAAAAATGTTGATTTGCCAACTCCGTTTGGTCCGACAATTGCCACTCTGGAACTTAAATCCACTCCAAAATCGACATTTCTAAACAAGGGTTTCTGGCCAGGATAGTAAAAACTAACACCTATGTAACGTAACACATATATAAATGTACATCAACGATACACAAATAATACCTAGTGAACATGTTGTACATGCTAATCGACCGAGAAAGAAAATTATGGATACGTACTATGCAAACCCAATATAGGAGGCTGTAAAGGACTGGGGTCTGGAAACGAAAATTTAACATTATAATCTTTCGGCTTTTGCAACAACTGTGAAGGTTCAATTGTGTCGTCCATTTCAGTTTTGTTGCCCTTTCCGGCTCTATTCTTTTCTTGTTTCCTCGTAAGCACTTCTTTTTGTTTTTTTTCCTACAAACATATGAAATTTGTTGTACATAACACAATATAAAAAAATGTATGAATATAAAACAACAGTAGTTATATAGATTATTATCATTGTTCTAAGGGTGTGTGGGAAATTACTAAAAAATAAGAGTAAAACATTCCTTCCTTTTTTTTACAGTTGGATCTCGTTAATTCAAACACAGGCAGTAATCCGAACGAGCTAGATTTTCCCTTATATTTGAACAGTACACGACACGAATAGTAGATACAAAATATACTTATACATTATTCTATATCTTATTACTAGTGTGATAATAGTTATAATAATGTGTGTGTGTTCTAAGATAACATAAATAATACAATATTGTCACACAAACGTTTTTGCTACTTGTCACATCTGATAAAAAAGTCATGGAAAAACCCTAGTCCACGTTTGGTTGCTGTTAACAAAACCTCTGAATTTCAAGAGAACAGCTTTATCCGAGCCAAGTGGTCTGGATAACATAACCATCACTGAAGTTGAGATTTAACAGCGTGGGTGACAGCGATTAAGTGGTACAGCAAGAAATTTATACCGATGAAACAAACTAGCATGCTGTTCATAATTCCGATCAGATTAACGAGACCCAATTGTAATTCGCTACCGATTATTATTAATATAAGGTGAAAAACAAAAATTATTACTGCTTGTTTTTTAGATTGGCCTTGCTGTTTCATTTCTTTTAATCTCTTTTCTTGTTTCTCGTACTCTTTAATAGTTTCTTTTTTCTTCTGCGAGTACATTTTTTTAAACATACTATAATTTCCTTTGTAATAAAACAGTCGCTTTGCATCTAAATGGATTATCTCATTGCAAACGTTATCTAAAAAGCTTTGGTCGTGAGACACGACCAATAAAGTTTTCTTCCAGCCCTGTAAATAGCTAAATTACACAGATTATTTAAACTTTTAATATATTTGAGTTATTGAAAAATTCAAAACTTAAAGAGGTTTACATACTTGTCAAGCCAAATGACAGCGTTTAAATCCAAATGGTTAGTAGGTTCATCAAGTAATAACAAGGTGGGCTCAAGAAATAGAGCTCTAGCCAATGATACTCTCATTCTCCACCCTCCAGAAAAATCTTTCGTAGCACGATCTTGCATGGCTTTCGAAAACCCTAAACCAGCGAGAATACGACGCGCTCTTGGTTCGGCAGAATCTGATCCGATGATTTTGAGTTCATCATAAACCTTGTTACAGTTATATAAAAATGAATATATTTATTTTTTATTAACTACGTGAGGACTACGAAGGAACTTACTTCATTTAGTCTGTCTGTAACACTAGAATCACCATTTTCTTGGGCCTCCTCTAGTTTTTTACATTCAGCCAGAAGCTCTGTGCATCTTACATCCGCTTTTAAAACTGAATTGACAGCAGTTGTATCGTCTGCAACTACTTCTTGTTCGCAGTACAAAATATCAATGTTCGGAGGGATGTCGAACAGCCGCTCTGCAATGTGCCGAAGTAACGTAGTCTTGCCATGTCTTAAATATTAAGTGTAATAATAATAATAATTAATAAAATAGTTGGCAACTCGTTGCTTTTGTAAAGTATCGATGGCAAATAATTACCCATTTGGTCCGACTAAACCGTATCGACGACCTTGGGCAATTAATAAACTAGCGTTGACAAACAAATCGTTTCCTTTAGCCGATATACTGAAGTTTTCGATTTTTATGTCTACAGCATGTTCTAGAGCTGCCAATTGTCCAGCCGTTTTTTGTATTTGTGACACCGAGAAGTTCGAACCAAGCTCGCTATGTCCCTGACCGCCTTTTTTTGTCATGGTTTCCATTTGTTTTTGATATTCTAGCTGAAATTAAATATAATGCTTTATAAATTAAAAACAATGCAAGTAACACATTATGTAATATTATAATTTTATCGTTGAACTAATTATGCAATATTACAAATATAATAAACTTAAAAATCATTGAAGTCAAAAGAAAAATGTGAGTTTTTCTAGGAGGGCTATAAAAAAGTCGACAGTATTTTGTCCGACCGTAATTTTACCGATAAATAATAATTGCGAAAAAAGTTAAGCCAAAAGATTCAATTAACCGAAAGATTTAATAGCCGAAAATATTCTAGCAGAAAAATATAAAATTATATTTTATACTCTGTCCCACATATGAAAGGTAGTGCGCAGAATCCTAGAGGCATTGCGTATTGCTCGATGCGCCTTGGTTTTTGCGCACTACCTTTCTTATATGGGATAGAATGTAGGTCGAAATTCATAACACCAAACGTATTCTAACCAAAACATAATTTAGCCGACAAATATATATATTTTTTTGTACAGGACCGAATCGTTTTAAAAAATAAAGGTGACGGCCATTTAGTAAAATCGATTTAGCAGTATTATAATATTATATGTTGTATCTAAAGCTCGGATGTTTATGACTTTGCATATTTTTTTTAGTAAAATCAGATTTATACCCAAATACGATTCACAAAGACTAGATTTTTAAATCAACAAACTTTTATTGCATATATTTGCAAATTATTGACACTTCTGAGCATACATTTGCTCTATAATGGTTATTTATAGATTTAGTAGCATAATATTTGTGAGTATAATTAATAAAAAAGTTCCATTTTATTATAATAATCTTTTATCGTGTTTACCGAGCATTATCTAAGTACAATAATTATACACAAGATGAGAAAAAGTATTTAAACAAAAATTCTGGTAATAAATTATTGTGCGCAATTTCTAAAATAATCGTCATTATTTTTTTAAATTTGAAAACACCACCGAAATAATAGCAGTAATTCCATGTTATCTTGATTTGTAAAATACTTTTTTAAAAAATAAACCTTTGTAAAGTGTTATTTATATTATGTCAAGCTATAATATAATATAATAATTACAAATATTAGCAAAACCATTGACTCTTTTAAAAAAAAAACATAATATGGAAATTCCTATAGTTTTATTCTTTCTAATGATCTTATATTTTAGGTAAATATTATAATAACAAATGATATCAATTTTAAAAATTGTAAAACTCCTAACCAAATAAGCTACATATATTATACAGTAGATATATAAAACTATTATATAATATTTTTTATCATCGATGCGTTGATGAGAAGGTATTGTTTTAATTTGTGGTGTCCAGACCTACGTTATCTTATTAACACTGCCTAACCAAATGTTCAAGTAGCAACACTATAGATCAGAAATCATACCTAAAAGGTACTGTATTAGCCAAAAAAAAATATTCACTTCATCCCCTTTAAATCAATATACCTTCAGTCTAAAATTGTATGGAATATTCCTCAGATAAAACCCTATCGATATACTTTGACAATTGACAAACTCTAAAAACATCACAAACCTTTTACGAAGAAGTCTTAGGACTCAAGTTACAGTATATTTTGATCTTTATAAATTAAATTTCTACTTACAGCAGTGATACGTTAGCTGAATAATTAGAATAAAAAAAAATAGTCTCTTTACGGTTGATTCAGAATTACCCGTTTAATTAAGCGTTATCTCCGGATACGAAATTATATAATAATCTTATTGGCTAGGAGATTTATGTTGTTTATAAGTATTCTGTTTAATTTATTGAGATAGAGGAAACACTGTTAATAGTTATTATTTATTACCTATTAAAATTAAAATCTTATGAACACTTATAGGAAGTTTAACGCCACGCTTAAATGAGAACAAGTAACTATTTGTAATTTGTACGTACAGCTTTAAAAACAATTAAAGACAACAATAAGTATCGTGGTTAAGTCTGTCGTTAGCGCTAAATATGACAATATTGTTACCGGAATATGTCTACGCATAGAGTGTAGTATTTTTATGGTTAAGGATTTAAATATTTATTTTTTTTACTATACATGTGATCATACGTTGCTTTAAGTTTTTTCTAGACTAAAATATTGTTCTGTAGAAATACCGTTTGGCTAGTTCATGTGTTTGATCAATTAATTATCGCCTTAAATAGTGTTCAATGAAAAAACTGTTTTGCCGATTTATTTCCGACACGAGTATTTATCGGCTGTAATACTGTTCTGTAAATATATATTTTAGTAGAAGTACAGCTCTGTTACATCGTGTTTCTGATCATTTATTTGTCGACAAAAGTACGTTTCTGCCGATTTATTTTTGGTTTATTAATCATTTTTCAACTTTAAAACGTACAATTTGATGATGAAACTATGAACAGAACAATATACTTCTACTTACTTTAATTGAAACTTAAGTTTTAGAACTTACATCTTTTTTTAATTTCTTTTTTTCTTTGTGAGATAGTTTATCAGTTTTAATTTCTTTTTCTTTAGACGACTTAGCCTTGGGTTCTTTAGCTGTGGTCTTTAGCTTCACATCTGAGGTGGAATCTAAAAATAAATTACACAGATGTATTGGTTTAGGTTAATAAAATAAAATCAGTTTGACTATTGTTATTACTCCCTTATAAGTATTGATTTTAAAAGTATACAGATCAAACGGTGCTACACACCGATTGTATGCGGCACACGCAGTCAACAGAGGTACCGTCGTCATAGTTTACCGTCCAACCATCCATAAATTACGACGAGGTTAATATTTAAAACACATTATATTACCTATTTCATTTGTACTAATTAAATTAGTATTTTCTTCTACAGCTACATCTTCATTGTTTATTTTAACTTCAGCTATTTTCTTTACTAGTACGTCTTCAATAACGGCATCACCTGTAACCGAACAGTTGAACACAAGTAAGACACTTATATAAACAAGGGCCTATTTTCAATTTTTTTTAAAAAACTTTTTTTGTTTTCAACAATTTTTTTATATTATAATATGTTGATGTAAAATAAAATATAAATATTTAAATGGGTCCTAATTCTTTTAAGAGTCTCAAATATAAACCGTAAAAAAATATACATTAAAACTTAACAGTTTGGAACTCTAGTCAACAAGGCATGATACAAATGCTTGAAAGTGTCTAAGAATTTATTTCCTTGTTTTTAAGACACACATTTTTTTACATCTGAAAATGCCCAGATTAATGTTTCAAAGATATACCATTTTAATTCTCTGGCTATTGGGAGACTATTTAATGATACTGTGTGTATTTTGTAATTCTTAAATGTATTTCTTGTTTGTCGTGAGTGACTTATGAGAATAGGACTCAAAGTACCTAGTCTAATAGTAGGATACGTAAACCCTCGCACTGCCAAAACTACGGTTGTCATAACCCGATGGATAGAATGCTGGGTTCTTGTAATTCATTTAGTAGTTTAAATTGCTCGGTGTCTGATACGCGTAAGTGTGTTTTAAATTACTCGGGTTGAATTTGTTATTGATTTTTTTGTTACCTAGTATTTGTCTATGTTAAACTGTGTCCCAACTCTTGCACCGAGGGGTGTCATTATTATAATAATAAAATAAAATAAAAACTAACCTTCTAAACTCGTATGTTTTTTATGCTTTTTTAATACTGTTGTAGTATTAATTATTTTCTCCGATTTATTAGAATTTCCTTGAGGTAATTCTTCGGCAATTAAATCATCTATAATTATTGAATATTAGTTTAATGTTATTTATTAATATAAGAAGTAGAAAACATTTCAAAGTATACCATTTATAGACACGATATTATACTTAGTACCTTTGTCATTCGTAATTGCAACATCATCGTTTGCTTCTAATTTAGATATATTTTCATTATTTATTTTGTCTTTATCTACTTCAGTTACTTTTTCTACTGAAACTTCTCCCGCATTTGAATCTAAAACACTTAATTACTTTAAATACAAAAAAAATATGGTAACATTAAAACTACTATGAAATACAATTTAACCTTCATCTTCTAAATCAAAATCTTTTTGCTTCTTTTTATTCTTTTTTGATATTTTTCCAGTATTCTTCGATTTAATTATGTCTTCTTGTTTCACAGAAGGAACTGTAGACAAAACGTCAATATAGTCATTACTATGTTATGTGCGCTTAGTTTTTGGACAAACTAGCGAAAAAAGTTTTAAAAACAATTTTTTCTACAGAAAAAAATTTTAACTTACCATTGTCGTCAACAATATCAATATTTTTGTTTATTTCTACATCGACATTTTCTTCGGTTTTTAATTCGACTTTATTTAACTCGGTTTTTTTTTCAACTAAAAATTCTTCTACAATTTGATCTTCTAAAACAAGAGTATCTACATAAAAATAAACACACAAGTAATATATATTTTAAATAAGATATTTAACCTTCATCTTCTAAATCAAAATCTTTTTGTTTCCTTTTATTCTTTTTTGATATTTTTCCAGTACTTTTCGGTTTACCTAAGTCTTCTGACTTTACATCAGCAACTAAATCCTCTATAAAAAAAATTATATGTTTTACGTTACTTATTAATATAAGAAGTAATAAGCACTTCAAAAGATACCATTTTTTGTAATTGCAACATCATCGTTTCCTTCTACTTTGGATAAATTTTCATCATCTAATTCAGTTTTTTTTTCTACTGAAAATTCTCCCTTATTAGAATCTAAAACACAATAAGCGTTAAATAAATAAAAAAAATGACAACAAAAACGGTGTCCGGTAAAGTAAATGTATGCCAAATTTACTTTACATATCATTTTATAAAGCTGTGATACACAATCAATCTTTATAATTGATAAACATCATGTCAATTACATACCTGAATCATCATCCCAATCTTGGTTTTTATTTTTTTTTTTACTTTTTTTTGGTACTTTTTTTTGTTTAATAATTGGTTCATCATCAACTGCATAATCCTCTTTCGGTAAAATCTCAGTTGTTACTTCATCTGAAAGAAATACAAATACAAAAAAAATAGGTGAATATAAAGTATAGATTATAGTCGATTGACACGTTGGAGACGACCGCCGTGTTTAACGCGGTCTTTAGAATTAACTATAGGAGATGGCAATAATAATATCGGCAACATTGTTGAGGACAAATGCTGTGTTTAGTGTGGCACGTAACAGTAGTATAAAAATATTATCGTCTCCAGTACACAAAAAAAAAAAACAGACCGCGTTAGACACGGCACCCGTCCTGAATGTAGCATTGTTATAAAAGTAGTTTGGTCTCCAATGTGTTAAAAAGGTCAGTAAACATCAGCAAAATTTGTATAATTGATAAACATTATGTGAATTACACACCTGAATCGCCATCCCAATCTTGGTTTTTATTTTTTTTTTTACTTTTTTTTGGTATTTTTTTTTGTTTAATAATTGGTTCATCATCAACAGCATAATTTTCTTTCGGTAAAATCTCATTTGTTACTTCATCTGATGGAAACAGAAATACAATAAATATAAATTAGATTTTAATAGATTAAAGAGGTTAATGACGAACATCAGCGTAACATTTATATTTTAATTCAATCTATAAAAAATTGTAAAATACATTAAGAGAATTCATCGACTATAGATACTCGTAACAATAATAATACCAAAATAATTGTAGCATATTAATTATAACGTTATAAACAACAAAGCGAGACATTCTTACCTTTATCACTATCCCAATCTTGATTTTTTGACTTTTTAGTTTTTTTCGGTGGCATAACTATTGACTAGCGAATAATTATTCTACTTTCTAACATAAATTATATTATTTTTATTATTTCCGAATAAGATTCAAAATATCGCCACATGTAACACCGAACACGAATGAGTTATCGAAGAGCAAAAACATGTTTTTATCAAGCTATATCATGATAACAGTTTGGCGGTCGGGTGATAACTGATAACAGTAAGGTTACTACCACGCCACCACGCCACTGCATTTCCTGGGTTGCTACCGTTACCACGAATGTTGCATGCCACTTGTGACTGTAGTTACCCCGACATTGCTTTATCAGTCATTTGCCACGAATTGACGAATATAATCTAATTCGAAGTAGAACCATTGTAGTTACATACAATTGTTTGCATTGTTCTTATTTAAATCATATTTAAGCCAATCCAATACCACTGTGGTTAACCAACCAGGATATTTTTTTCCACAACTAGCTATTTGTTTAATATATTCTACACTGACTTATTTAGTCACTCAACACTATAACTCCATTTAGGGTATGTCACCTGTAGCATAAAATCTCTATATAACAACCATTGAGATGAATTTTCCATTGGAAATATAAACAATGAACCTGTCACCCAAGTTTGCACAGTCATTTGATAATAGGTAGAACAATAAGGAAATGATTTAGAAGGATAAATAAATAGTTGGAATAGATTAGATAAAAAAGGCAACTTTACTAATTCGGTAATTGTTTATTATATTGGTAGACATGTCATAAAACAGAAATAGATATACAATATTGTGCACTAACAAAAAAATGTATTAATGTGGAAAATGTTATTGAAAAAATCCACCGACGGTTCACTTGCCGTCAGCTTAGGGATATGTATAATATTTAAAAAAATCAGGTTTTATAATGTATATAGTAATTATAATAAGATAAATTATGATATATTATGTAATAAATAGAACATAGATGCCAGTGTTGAACTAACACTAGGTTAGAACGTGGGTGGTTCTTGTGGACGTACACGTAGTAACTGGTTCTGGAGTGATTCTAGTGGTCGGCCTAGGTCTAAACTTATTTGAGACCATTTGCCTTGAATATAACCGTACCTCATTTTGCCATCATTTTTGTCCGTAAAGGTACATGTACAGTTAGCTAAGTTAAACTCAAGTGCTTTTAGGTATGACTCTGGAGATTGGGTACTCAAGTATAATCCAATGAAACGACACTTCGCTGGCAAAAAGGGATCATTTACACGCTGCACAACTCCTGATCAAAAATTAGAAAATATTTTTTTTAATTTGCTAATATTAGTTTACCAGTTACTACTTATCTTAATGGTTCAAAACAAAACTATTTTATTTGTTAATACATAGTCATAAAAAAATAATACAATAAGCATGGTGTCGTATTGTACAGCCATGTTATATTTTGTATTACATGTAAGCACGTGTTAGTAGTTATAATTTATTTGGTTAATTGTTAAAAATTAAATTCAGTTGTATCATTGTCCCTATTAAATAACTTTAAAACAAATATATATATATGTGTGTATATAATATATATATATATATATATATATATATATATATATATATATATATATATATGATATATGTATATAATAAAACCGAACAACTCCATAATAATATTTACTTAATACACGACGTTCGAGTATACGTAATAAAGATATAGAAACATAATCTCTTCCCTTGTTAGCAATTGTTTTCAATGTTCCCAAATCTATGAAAAAAGTTATTAAATGACCTTATTGCGAATAAATAAATAATATATTAGTCGCTCTTTATACATAATTTTTGCATTACATTTCAAATAATTGTGATATAACTAACTTTATGTACAACCACTTATTAGTGTTAAAACTCTTCAAATATATTCTTTCTATACTTGAAATCTCAAAAAATGTATTACAAATTAACACTGTAGTGACACACTCTCTCTCTCTCTCTCCTCAACAAAAAGTTTATTTCATTAAAACAATTATTTGACATAACACATTAAATTAATAAAAACAAGCTTTTAAGGCTATTTACGACTGTAAGAAATTCGTAATTACCACTATTATAAGTTTCTTCATATCTAAATCCTGTAACAAACACATGAAACCATTATACAGTTAATAAAACCCGGTTTATATTTTATACATAACATTCACTCTATAACTGAGGTTAATTAGATCAATATTAACTAATGCAAAATATTATTGTATAAATGTTAAATTTTTATCTTATAGCGATGTTTAAATAAACGGTTTAAATTATATTTTGAATGATTTTTTAAACCTTAAACATAAAACACGTCATTTAGCTTTTAGATAAATCGAGAATTTCTTAAAAACTACAAATGTATGTAACCATTCATTTTTTTATTGTATATTTACCTAATAATTTTTCTATGTATTGTATGAAGTCTTTGAAAAGAGTATTGGCTTCTAAAATTTAATACAAAATACATTTTAATGTACCTACATATTGTTTTATGATTGAAACTGATGATTCATATTGGTATTTGTTAATAACTTAATAGATACAGATGGTTATTTTAGAAGTATTTATAAGTAATAAATACACAATACGTATAATAAAAATAAAATATAAAAAGGGGCTTTTACTTTCATATGGGTCATCATTTTGAAGTTCTGAAATTAAAACAAAAATCTTGTGTGCATAAAGAATATCAAACAACTGTATCAAAACGCTTTCATAGAGTACAATAAAAATTATTACCCGGTATTCCCGAGACAATTTCTATTTTATCTGAAATTACAAACACAAAAATTAATGATACTGCAATTAATTTTCTATTCTGTTATAAACAGGAAGACGAATTTCAAAGTAGAAAAAACATGTGTATTAGTAACTCAAAAGAAACATGCTGCACTGTATATTCAATACGATGAGAGTCTTTTTTGAAAATTCTATAGGAATGAAATATTGGAAATATTTTCATAAAACTCAACAAAAACTATTACCTGGTACAGCAATCAAAAAAATAAGTTTGCCTGAAATGAAATTGACGTTACATAAATTAATGATATTTAATTGGATTTTCTATAGTAAATTATTAAATTTTATAATTATAAATTAGAAGGCGTAGGTCAAAGTAGAAAAAAACTATATTATAGACTAAGGAATCTAAAGGGTGTCCCAAAAATAGCGCAACCGTTTAAATGGCGCAACCGTATTAAAAGTTGCGCTATTTTTGGGACACCCTTTATATGAAATATAATGGCCGAGTTGATGCAGTTTAGGCGATGAGAAAAAAATGTATTAATCAGACAAAGTTGATAGAGCAAGCATTAATAATTTTTCGTAAATTATCTATTTAGATTTCGGTGAAAAATATAATAATTATAACACTCATCAATTGCATAAAGATAAACATGAGATGCAGTTATTTTATTATTTTCAAATATTTTTTTCTACTCTTGTCTTGTTGTTTTTTATAATGATTATAATTATGATTACAGAAATTATCCTTGTAGCGACTGACATCATAGAGATCATCAACCATTGTCTCAATTACATGCTCCAAATTATCTAAAATAAGCAAATGAAGATTTTGGCTATACTAGAATAATATAGATTATTTGTAATTATAATGTATATATTATAGGTACTGCTCTGTACAGTGTTCTACATGTTACGCGGTGCGCTTTTTTAAACTATTATAACAAAGCGTCTATATATATTAGTATATTATTTTAAATATAATATCTTACTTGCACTAGATCTAAGTCTACCTCTGTTATCAAATAAACCATTCATAAGATAAGTACTTCTGAAGGTTTGAGCTGTGATACATAGTTTAAAAATTTTTTATAAGAACAGTGGATATGAAAACTTAAAAAACTTTTGTTTATAAAATAAAAATGTTACTGACTTATTTTGTAAACATGATCCATATAATCCGCTGTAAACAGGTTAAATATTAAATTCTATCAAATTTTAACTACCTTAAACTGTTAAAATAAACTAATTACCATTATCATCTGCCAAAACATCCACGAAGAAAAAATATATAAATACACAGAAGAGTTTCATTTTTATCTGCGAATAATAACAAATAAAAAAACATTTTATATTAGCCATAGTTGCCTGTGGTTTAAAGATGAGAAGGTTATGGTTTTTGCGAAGCAGTTTTAATATGATAAATAAATATATATATATTATGAGCATATACATTTTTCCAGACTTATAATATTTCCTAGACCGTTAAACTAATTTTTTTGTATAGGAAGGTAGAAATCTAACTTGAAAGGTACTTTATTTGGCAAAAATTACAATTATTTCACTATAATAAAGATAGACAAAAATAAAAATAAGTCGGTTAACTATTAAAATTGCATTGTATAAAAAAATTATCTTACATTATTCAAAATAGAAATTATAAAAAAGTATTTAACTAAATGTTGTTATTAAAGTTAGATTTTATGATGTGACGTTATGGAGAAGATGACATTTTAGAGAGAATGTCATAATCCGTTTTAAAAAAACATCTTTAGAAATAAAGTTATTACCGTTACAAAAAATTTTAAAATATCTTTGCAAATAGCACACTGAGAAGTAGTGAAAAAATAAATGAAATTTATAACTCACAAAAGTATCGATAAAAAAAAAAAATTTTTTTAAAAATATTTCGTTTACTTCAAAATAGGAATATTCAGCAATATGATTTAGATTTTCCATCATAACACTTAAATAAAATCTTATTTTTGGAGGCTATTGCTTTCTGTCTAATATACGTGTACACATTTGTTTGTAGCGTTTTGCTTTAAAATCGTCAGAAATAAAACTAAAAACATGCAGAAACATTTTTTTTTAATTTTGACTTAACAGGTGATGAAAACATTTCAATTTTCAAATCATTTATTTTCAAAAAAAAAAAATTGAAATTAGTTATGTATAATATGAATTTAGTTCTCTACAAAGTTTTTTTTTTTATATCTTTGTACTGTTGAACCTTTTTGAGTAATGTCTACTTTTGTTAGGTATTATGAAAACGATTTAAAAAACTACCATGATTCACTACACTTCCTTTAGTATACTTCAAGCCAAATAACGAAAATCCTCAAGATATATTATTGAATTCTCTCCAAAATGTGGATTGTGTAAAACGATGATTGATAATCGATAAAAAAATAATTAGCAATAAATAATCCTTATTGCTGTTCTTAAACACTACAACTTTTGACTCTTAAGCGTAATTAAATTTTTTAGAGTTTAATAGAAATACTTACATAAATTGAAGAGTTTGCAAGGTTTCTTGGACAACAATCGACTTGTTAAGCTTTTGAAACTAAATGTACTGCTTGCAACTTATGGATGAGCTTTATTTCGATCGAAAAATCACAATCCGAATATTTTTTTGCAATACAAATATGGTTATTTACTTACAGAACTGGTTCATTCTTTGTTTCTTTTTTTTATTTTTGTGATTTATCGTGTATAAATTACTTAGAAATCGGCGTGTGGACTATGTTTTTCTACACAATACACTTAAATAAAAAAATATATTATTTGACGAAATAGTATTTTTTTTTTAAATGTTATTATGGACTTACAAAAACTGTTTCAACTGTTCCAAATATTGAAATTTGAAACACTTTTACCTTTATTGAAATATTAAAATTCGAATAACATCCATTTATAATTAATTTAAATTGAATAATCATTTTCAGCAATAATTTATAACAAAGTGCCTTATGCTAATTATGTTTAATCCAAAACAATGGCCAGACCTTTGAGTTGTTAAACGATCTCGAATTAATTGATTTGACTTCTTATCGGATAAGTTGGATAATGGTTAGGATCACATAACTGTGTGAAATAAGAATTTTAATCAACCTTAGCATGTTTATCACTGAAGCCACCTTGATTATAATTACTATCAAAATTTACAAAATTATATTTGTCAACCAATTGTGAAAAATAACACTATGACCATCTTCTATATGCTAAATAAATATTCGTTGAGACTTAAACGCCAAAACAGTTTACGAAACTGTCATAATCTATTGTGCTAGGTTCCACTATAAACTCAATGGTCATCCGAACCTCTTGTTTATAACCACGCTTCTAGTTCTCTATCAGACATCTTGTAGTCTTTAACTTTAAAGATATTTTATGTCTTAATACTGTATTAAACACATTTTTCTCATCTATCATTATTCGTCGACAATTCGGCTGCTTAAAACTAGCCCAAGGTCATAACTACGCAACCAATCAAAATAAATAAAGAGTACTAGTCATATGGTAGTTAAGTATATTAAATATAAGTATACTCATGCCTAATAAGACTAGGACCTCGATAAAAATTAGGCTTAAAGAAGTAATGTGAAAGCGATTGTCTAAATGGTCGTTTTTCAAAAACAGTAATATAAATTCCAAGGGCCAAGGAGTGAGGACATAATATTTAGTTTTACACTAGAGCACCTGAACATCCCTGATGCACCACTGTACTCAACTATGACGTGATCGTGGTTTCTCGAAACTGAAATATGTTAAACCATATAAAGTAGTACCTTGTCACAAGACTAATTAGACAGTTTTTTGGTTATATTTATCGAGAAAGGGTTGTTCAACGGTGTAGACTCGGATGATATAATCGATAAGGCGGCTAATAAAAGTTAAGTGGTGTCTAAAATTGTTTTAAAAAAAAAAAATATATAATTTTTTTTTAACAAGATTATTTGTTTTGTAATTACTGTATAAAGTTTAATATTTAACTATATTAGTTTAAGTCATATTTAATTTTAAAGTTTTAAGTTTGTCGGCCGTATAATAACACAAAAAATAAGAAGATAAAATTTGCTTGTCTTAGCTTTTTACATAGACTCAGCAGAGGTATTACACTATCAACAACTAGAAATTATCATTTCATTGGTAAACAAACCAGAATTATTTAAATGTAATAAACCATTATTTCCAATGTTACTTATTTTCATAGGATATTTAGATTTTAGAAAAACTGATTGTTGGGAAAAGTGGTGTTTGGTATTTATCAATCTTATGGAAATACAAACATTCCCAACGTACAATTTACCTCAAATTCACTTTTCCTAATTAACAATTTTTCCATAGGAAATGTGGTCTTTGGAAAATATACAAATTGGGAAAAGTGGTAGCTACCCCCCACCACGATATTGCTTTATCAGTCGTAAGTAGAACCATTGTAGTTATTTACAATTATTGTTTGCATTGATCTTATTTAAATCATATTGAAGCCAATCCAATACCATAATGGTTAACCAACCAGGATATTTTTTTCCACAACTAGCTATTTGTATAATATATTCTACACTGACTTATTTAGTCACTCAACATTATAACTCTATTTAGGGTATGTCACCTGTAGCATAAAATCTTTATATAACAACCATTGAGATGAATTTTCCATTGGAAATATTAACTATGAACCTGTCACCCAAGTTTGCACAGTAATTTAATAAGAGGTAGAACAATAAGGAAATGATTTAGAAGGATAAATAAATAGTTGGAATAGATTAGATAAAAATTTGTATGTTTTTACTAATTCGGTAATTGTTTATTATATTGGTAGACATGTCAAAAAACAGAAATAGATTACAATATTATGTAATAACAAAAAAATGTATTATGTGGAAAATGTTATTGAAAAAATCCACCGACGGTTCACTTGCCGTCAGCTTAGGGATATGTATAATATTTAAAAAAATCAGGTTTTATAATGTATATAGTAATTATTACAATAAGATAAATTATAATATAATATATAATAAACAGAACACAGATACCAGTGTTGAATTAACACTAGGTTAGAATGTAAGTGGGTCTTATAGACGTCCAATTCGTAACTGGTCCTGGAGTGATTCTAGTGGTCGGCCTAGGTCTAAGCTTATTTGAGACCATTTGCCATCAATATAACCGTACCTCTTTTTGCCATCATTTTTATCCGTAAAGGTACATGTAAGGCCAGTTAAGTTAACCTCAACTGCTTTCATGTATAATTCTGGAGTTTGGGCACTTAAGTATATTCCGATGAAACGACACTTCGCTGGTAAAGAGGGATCATTTACATGCTGCACAACTCCTGATCAAAAATTAGAAAATATTTTTTTTAATTTGCTAATATTAGTTTACCAGTTATTACTTATCTTAATGGTTCAAAACAAAACTATTTTATTTGTAAATACGAAGTCATAAAATAATAATAATACAATAAGGATGGTGTCGTATTGTACAGCCATGTTATATTTTGTATTACATGTAAGCACGAGTAAGTAGTTATAACTTATTTGGTTAATTGTTAAAAATTAAATTCAATTGTCCCTATTAAATAACCTTAAAACAAATATATATATATATATATATATATATATATAAATATATATATATTTGTATATAATAAAACCGTACAACTCCATAATAATATTTACCTAATACACGACGTTCGATTATACGTATTAAAGCTATAGCAACACATTGTCTTCCTCTGTTAGCAATTGTTATCAATGTTCCCAAATCTATGAAAAAAGTTATTAAATGACCGTAATTGGAAGAAATAAATAATATATTAGTCGCTCTTTATACATAATTTTTGCATTACATTACAAATAATTGTGATATAACTAACTTTATGTACAGCCACTTATTAGTGTTAAAACTCTTCAAATATATTCTTTCTATACTTGAAATTTAAAAAAATGGATTACAAATTAACACTGTAGTGACACACTCTCTCTCTCTCTCCTCAACAAAAAGTTTATTTCATTAAAACAATTATTTGACATAATACATTAAATTAATAAAAACAAGCTTTTAAGGCTATTTACGACTGTAAGAAATTCGTAATTACCACTATTATAAGTTTCTTCATATCTAAATCCTGTAACAAACACATCAAACCATTATACAGTTAATAAAACCCGGTTTATATTTTATACATAACATTCACTCTATAACTGAGGTTAATTAGATCAATATTAACTAATACAATATATTATTGTATATATGCTAATTATTTATTTTATAGCTATGTTTAAATAAACGGTTTAAATTATAATTGAAATGATTATTTAAAACCTTAAACATAAACACGTCATTTAGCTTTATGAAAAGTCATAAAGCTAAGTTATAAACCGAGAATTTCTTTAAAACTACCAAAATATGTAATCATTAATTTTTTTATAGTATATTTACCTAATAATTTTTCTATGTATTCTATCATTTCTAGTAACAAATTATTGGCTTCTAAAATTTAAAACAAAATACATTTTAATGTACCTACATAACTTTTTATGATTGAAACTGATGTGTCATATTGGTATTTGTTAATAGATACAGATGATTTTTTTCAAAGTATTTATAGGTAATAAATACACAATACGTATAATACAAATAAAATATAAAAAAGGGCTTTTACTTTCATATGGGTCATCATTTTGAAGTTCTGAAATTAAAACAAAAATCTTGTGTGCATAAAGAATATCAAACAACTGCATAAACTGATGTGTCATATTGGTATTCGTTAATAGATACAGATGATTATTTTTAAAGTATTTATAAGTAATAAATATGCAATACGTATAATAAATATAAAAATTAAAAAGGGGTTTTTACTTTTCTCTGGGTCATCATTTTGAAATTCTGAAATTAAAACAAAAATCTTGTGTGCATAAAGAATATCAAACAACTGTATCAAAACGCTTTCATAGAGTACAATGAAAATTATTACCCGGTATTCCCAAGACTATTTCTATTTTATCTGAAATTAACAACACAAAAATTAATGATACTGTAATTAATTTTCTATTCTGTTATAAACAGGAAGACGAATTTCAAGGTAGAAAAAACATGTGTATTAGTAACTCAAAAGAAACATGCTGCACTGTATATTCAATACGATGAGAGTCTTTTTTGAAAATTCTATAGGAATAAAATATTGGAAATATTTTCATAAAACTCAACAAAAACTATTACCTGGTACAGCAATCAAAAAAATAAGTTTGCCTGAAATGAAATTGACGTTACATAAATTAATGATATTTAATTGGATTTTCTATAGTAAATTATAAAATTTTATAATTATAAATTAGAAGGCGTAGGTCAAAGTAGAAAAAAACTATATTATAGACTAAGGAATCTGTATGAATATAATGGCCGAGTTGATGCAGTTTAGGAGATGAGAATAAAATGTATTAATCAGACAAAGTTGATAGATCAAGCATCAATAATTTTTCGTAAAGCGTCTATTTAAATTTCGGTGAAAAATATAATAACTATAACAGCCATCAATTGCATAAAGATAAACACGAGATGCAGTTATTTTATTATTTTCAAATATTTTTTTCTACTTTTGTCTTGTTGTTTTTTATAATGATTATAATTGTGATTACGTAAACTATTCTTGTAGCAATCCTTAGCATCGATATCATAAACCATTGTCTCAATTACATGCTCCAAATCATCTAGAATAAACAAATGAAGATTTTGGCTATACTAGAATAATATAGATTATAAGGAATTATTTTTTTTTTATAAATTATCGCCAATCGGCTTTTTTTAAATAATACAAATAAGTAGGTACATACAACAGTGTAAAAGAGGAAAACAATTAATACAACAAATGAACTACCACTGACAATAAAAATAAATCATAAGCCTCCGTACAAAACTATACAGTGTCATTGTATTCACGCATTATCCTAATTAGGGTGACATTTTTAGCTAAATTCGTTCTGCTCAAAGGTAAATAAAATTGACTTTGAAGCCTAGTATTGCTGGGTACAATAATATTGTGTCGCCCCAGTAAACGCGGAGCATCAATATCACCATTCAATAATTTATGTATAAAATTAATCCCGAATTTCTTGCGTCGTTGGTCCAAATACTCAAGCTTGAGTACTTGATTTATAGGAGCATAATCGTGGACTTGGTGTGCGATATTGAGAGAATAACCAGCAAAACTAAGAAACTTGTTTTGTACGTTATTAATTCGTCGTTTGTCAACTGTTGTGTAAGGTGGCCAGATCAATGCCCCATATTCTAAAGTCGACCGAACAAGGGAGCTATAGAGTGCAACTAAACAATCACGAGACTTAAATTTGGATGAATTGCGACGAATAAACCCTAACACACGCAGAGCTTTACCAACAACGTAGTCAATATGAGGTCGAGGGTCAAGAAAAGGGACATAAAGCAAACCTAGGTCATTTACTTGACAAACACCTTTTTAGATAATGATAATGATAATGTATATATTATACTGCTCTGTACAGTGTTCTACATATTATGTGGTGCGCTTTTTTTTAACTATTGATAAAAACTATAGTTTTTAATTTACCAATAACTTGGCAATTAGGTACATATAACAAAGCTTCTATATATTTTAGTATATTATTTAAAATATAATATCTTACTCGCTCCAGATACAGTTCTACCTCTGTTATCAGTTAAACCATACTTATGATGAGCAATAATGTCATAGGTTTGAGCTGTGATACATAGTTTAAAAAAATTTGTATAAGAACAGTGGATTTGAAAAACTTAAAAAACTTTTGTTTATAAAATAAATTGGTTACTGACTTATCTTGTAAACATAATCCATATAAACCGCTGTAAAAAGGTGAAATATAGAATTTTTTTAATTTTACAAACTATCTTAAACTGTTAAAATAAAATAATTACCATTATCATCTGCCAAAACATCCACGAAGAAAAAATATATAAATACACAGAAGAGTTTCATTTTTATCTGCGAATAATAACAAATAAAAGAACATTTTATATGAGCCATAGTTGCCTCCGGTTCAAAGATGAGAAGGTTATGGTTTTGCGAAGCAGTTTTAATATAATAGATAAATATATATATATATATATTATGTACTTATACATTTTTTTACCAGACTTATAATAGTTCCTAGACCGTTAAACTAATTTTTTTGTATAGGAAGGTAGAAATCTAATTTGAAAGGTACTTTATTTGGCAAAAATTACAGTTATTTCACTATAATAAAGGTGGACAAAAATAAAATTAATTCTATTAACTATTTAAATTGTATAAAAAAAAAAGGGTATTCATTTCTGTCTAATATAAGTGTACAAATTTGTTTTTAACGTTTTGTTTTAAAATCGTCAGTAATAAATTTAAAAACATTTTTTTTAAATTTTGACTTAACAATAAACACAGATGATGAAAACATTTCAATTTTCAAATTATTTACTTTCAAAAATAAAATTGAACACGTATATGAATTAAGTTCTCTACAAAGTTATTTTTTTTATATCTTTGTACTGTGGAACCTTTTTGAGTAATGTCTACTTTTGTTAGGTATTATGAAAACGATTTAAAAAACTACTATGATTCACTACATTTCCTTTAGTATACTTCAAGCCAAATAACGAAAAACCCAAGATATATTATTGAATTCTCTCCAAAATGTGGATTGTGTAAAACGATGATTAAGAATCGATAAAAAAATAACTAGCAAAAAATAATCATTATTATTGTTCTTAAACACTATAACTTTTGACTCTTAAGCGTAATTAAATTTTTTAGAGTTTAATAGAAATACTTACATAAATTGAAGAGTTAGTAAGAGTTTCTTGGACAACAATCGACTTGTTAAGCTTTTGAAACTAAATGTTCTGCTTGCGACTTATGGATGGGCTTTTTATCGACCGAAAAATCACAATCCGAATATTTTTTTGCAATACAAATATGGTTATTTACTTACAGAACTGCTTTATTCTTTTTATTTTTTTTTTATTTATCGTGTATACATTACTAAGAAATCGGCGTATGGACTATGTTTTTCTACACAATACACTTAAATAAAAAAATATATTATTTGACGAAATAGTATTTTTTTTTTAAATGTTATTATGAACTTACAACAACTGTTTCAAATGTTCCAACTATTGAAATTTGAAACACTTTTACCTTTATTGAAATACTAAAATTCGAATAACATCCATTTATAATTAATTAAAATTGAATAATCATTTTCAGCAATAATTTATAACAAAGTGCCTTATGCTAATTATGTTTAATCCAAAACAATGGCCAGACCTTTGAGTTGTTAAACGATCTCGAATTAATTGATTTGACTTCTTATCGGATAAGTTGGATATTGGTTAGGATCACATAACTGTGTGAAATTAGAAATTTTAATCAACCTCAGCATATTTATCACTGTAGCTACCTTAATTATAAATGATCAAAATTTACAAAATTATATTTGTCAACCAATTGTGAATAATAACACTATGATCGTCTTCTATATGCTAAATGCATGTAGATGCTAAATAAATATTTGTTCAGACTTTAACGCCAAAACAGTTCACGAAACTGTCATAATCTACTCTACAAGGTTCTACTATGAACTCAATGGTCATCCGAACCTTTCGTTTATAACCACGCTTCTAGTCCACTATCAGACACCTTTCAGTCTTTAACTTTGAAGATATTTTATGTCTTAATACTGTATCACACATATTTTTCTCATCATTATTCGTCGACAATTCGGCTTCTAAAAGCTAGCCCAAGGTCATCATTGCGATCAATATAATATTACAGTTTTTTCAAAAGCAAAAACTACGCAACCAAGCAAAAAAAAATAAAGCATATTACTTCGAATCAGGAATTACTTTTATCGTTTTACTCTTAATCCAATAGGAAAATCAAATTTTATCAATGTCTCCCTCTCTTTCTCTCCCTCAACAAAAAATTTAATTTATTAAAATTGTTGTTTAAAACAAAACATTACATAAATGAAATGAAGCACATTTAAACTCGTATAAATAAGCTTTAAAGGCTATTCAAAAATTCGTAATTACCTTGGTCTTCATTGACTTCAGACAATTTGATTCCTGTAACAACTACATCAAATCATTATGCATTATGAGTTTTGAGTTAAACCCGGTTTATATAATATTACAGTCACTCTATTACTGAGATAATTTAGACCAATTAATTAATGCGAAATAATATTGTGTAAATGTTAATATATTTAAAATAGCGATGTTTGAATAAACGGTTTATATTTCGAATGATCATTAAAAGCTTAAGCATAAAATATATATATAGCTTTATGACTTTATATTTGAATTGGATATTGTAGAGTTACAAATGTGTAGGTAACTATCAATTTTTCAAATGTTATGTTTACCTAATTTATCTTCTATTTCTTCTAGCATAATATACTAACGTAACGAATAACTTTAAAATTAAAACAAAAAAATAAATTTTATTTTACCTACACATATTTTTATTATTAATATCGATATGTCATAATGGTATTAGTCAATTGGTAGTTAAGTATATTAAATATAAGTATACTCATGCCTAATAAGACTAGGGCCTCGGTAAAAATTAGGCTTAAAGAAGTAATGTGAAAGCGATTGTCTAAATGGTCATTTTTCAAAAACAGTAATTTAACCCTTTCAGACCAGCGTGCTATTTTAATGGCATAACAAAATAATAGCCGTTATAAAATTAATTTCTTTGTGTAATCTATATATATATACGTAAAAACATGTGTAGAATAAGTTAAAAATGATAAAAATGTAGTACGGGCAAAATATGAAACGATAATGAAAGATTTTTAATAACAAAAAGGTTTGCTGATTTTTTTTTTCGTATTCTCTTCCATTATCAAAAAAAAAAAACAAACACTATCAGTAGAGTAGGTATAATAATTATTGGAATCATTAAATAAGAACCGAAATTAGTCATACTTAATGTGGCTTTTTATCAATGTGTTTTGTTCACAAATTTTGGAAGTAATAGACTGACGGAGGTTCTAAATAAGAAATGTTCTTCAAATGAAATTATTTGAAAATTTAATGTGAGTTTAATGCTGAAATATCTCTAATCCAACTGTAATCTAAATCCTACCTGGAATATATATACCGGATTCGGTCATGATGCACACAAATAAATAAAATAATTATTTCAGGTTCCTTTCTCAAAAATGTAATGAACATAAAAGATCTATCATTAAGATGTAGGCATTGTACAAAAATTGTATTATAATAAAACTAACAAAACATAATTAATCAAATATCTAGTAAATATCATGTATCATTCAATGCAGTTGAGATGAAAAGCATCGGTATCTTCCCTTGAACGAATTTTCGTTATGATTTTCTTCCATTTGAATTTATATAATAGGTAATAAAAAGTATTAGTTGATTTTATTATATAATTTTTTTTATAATAAAATATACCATTATAATTCACTATCTACTTTTTTTGTCTGTTATTTTTGATAACATTACTATGGAATAATGTACAGATACTTTACTTAGGTATTTTTTAACTTTTCATAAGTTAAACAACATATGAGTTTTTCATTATACACATACACAATCATAATAACAGTCTATGTAGCCAGATTTTTTGTACTATTCAAGGCGTTAGACATAAATGACCTTAAATTTACTGTATGTACAATCACAAATTTCGTTTTTTAGTGTCTTTGTTTTTTTAGTTAGGGCACACAAAAAACACATCACTAAATCAATACACATCCACATAAACGAGTTTATCTATTTTGTATTTAGCACACAATAATGCGTTGCAAAAAGAAATTGAATTCGACATTCTTTTCGATTTAAAATATTATGTAGGATGATTTTTTCGTAACCGGCATTGTTCTAAATTTAAATCATATTTAAGCCAATCCAATACCACTGTGGTTAACCAACCAGGATATTTTTTTCCACAACTAGCTATTTGTTTAATATATTCTACACTGACTTATTTAGTCACTCAACATTATAACTCCATTTAGGGTATGTCACCTGTAGCATAAAATCTCTATATTACAACTATTGAGATGAATTTTCCATTGGAAATATAAACAATGAACCTGTCACCCAAGTTTGCACAGTCCTTTGATAATAGGTAGAACAATAAGGAAATGATTTAGAAGGATAAATAAATAGTTGGAATAGGTTAGATAAAAATGCAACTTTACTAATTCGGTAATTGTTTATTATATTGGTAGACATGTCATAAAACAGAAATAGATATACAATATTGTGCACTAACAAAAAAATGTATTGATGTGGAAAATGTTATTGAAAAAACCCACCGACGGTTCACTTGCCGTCAGCTTAGGGATATGTATAATATTTAAAAAAATCAGGTTTTATAATGTATATAGTAATTATAATAAGAAAAATAATGATATATTATGTAATAAATAGAACATAGATGCCAGTGTTGAACTAACACTAGGTTAGGATGTGGGTGGATTTGGAGGATGTACAAGTTTTAACAGGTCCTCGAGTGATTGTAATGATCTTGGTGGGTCATCGAAACTTATTTCAGACCATATGCCATTAAAATAACTGTACTTCTTTCTGTCATTATTTTTATTCGTATAGGTACATGAACTATCAGCTGGGTTAATATCAACTTTTTTTATGTATAATTCTGGAGATTGGGAACTCAAGTATAATCCCATTATACGACACTTCACTGCTAAAGTGGGGTAATCATTTTCACGCTGCTTAAATCCTGATCAAAAATTAGAAAATATTTTTTTTTAATTTGCTAATATTAGATTACCAGTTACTACTTATCTTTATGGTCCAAAACACAACTATTTTATTTGTTAATACAAAGTCATAAAAAAATAATACAATAAGCATGGTGTCGTAGTGTACAGCCATGTTATATTTTGTATTACATGTAAGCACGTGTTAGTAGTTATAATTTATTTGGTTAATTGTTAAAAATTAAATTCAGTTGTATCATTGTCCCTATTAAATAACTTTAAAACAAATATATATATATATATATATATTTGTAAATAATAAAACCGTACAACTCCATAATAATATTTACCTAATACACGAAGTTGGGTTAAACGATTTAAAGCTGTAGAAACATATGCTCTTCCCTTGTTAGCAAGTGTTGTCGCTGTTCCATGACCTATGAAAAAAGTTGTTAGATGACCGTAATGCGAATAAATAAATAATATATTAGTCGCTCTTTATACATAATTTTTGCATTACATTTCAAATAATTGTGATATAGCTAACTTTATGTACAACCACTTATTAGTGTTAAAACTCAACAAATATATTACAAATCAACACTGTAGTGATACTCTCTCTATATCTCTTTCCTCAACAAAAAGTTTATTTCATTAAAACAATTATTTGACATAATACATTAAATAAATAAAAACAAGCTTTTAAGGCTATTTACGACACCAAAAAATTCGTAATTACTTTCATTATAAGTGTCTGCATATGTAAATCCTGTAACAAACACATCAGACAACAAACCATTATACAGTTAATAAAACCAGGTTTATATTTTATACATAACATTAACTCTTTAACTGAGGTTAATTAGATCAATATTAACTAATGCAAAATATTATTGTATAAATGTTTAATTTATATCTTATAGCGATTTTAAATAAACGGTTTAAATTATATTTCGAATGATTTTTTAAAACCCTAATTATAAAACACGTCATATAGCTTTATGACTTTTAGTAATAAATCAAAATGTCCTTTAAAACTACAAAAATATGTAACCTATTATTTTTTAATTGTATATTTACCTAATAATCCTTCTATGTATTGTTCAAAGGCTCGGAAAAATTTATTTGCTTCTAAAATTTATAACAAAATACATTTTAATGTACCTACATATTTTTTTATGATTGAAACTGATGTGTCATACTGGTATTTGTTAATAGATACAGATGATTATTTTCAAAGTTTTTATAAGCAATAAATACGCAATACGTATAATAAATATGCAGTATAAAAAGGGGCTTTTACTTTCATATGGTTCATCATTTGGGAGTTCTGAAATTAAAACAAAAATCTTGTGTGCATAAAGAATATCAAACAACTGTATGGAAACGCTATCATAAAGTGCAATGAAAATTATTACCCTCTATTTCCGAGACAATTTCCAATTGGTCTGAAATTAACAACACAAAAATTAATGATACTGCAATTAATTTTCTATTCTATTATAAACAGAAAGACGAATTTCAAGGTAAAAAAAACATGTGTATTAGTGATTTAAAAGAAACATGATCCACTGTATATTCAATACGATGAGAGTCTTTGGAAAATTCTATAGGAATGAAATATTGGAAATATTTTCATAAAACTCAACAAAAACTATTACCTTGTACAGCAATCAAAAAATTCATTTTGCCTGAAATTAAATTGACATAAATTAATGATATTTAATTGGATTTTCTATAGTAAATTGTTAAATTATATAATTATAAATTTGAAGGCGTAGATCACAGTAGAAAATAACTATATTAATGACTGAGTTGATGCAGTTTAGGCGATGAGAAAAAAATATATTAATCAGCCGAAGTTGATAGAGCTAGCATCAATATTTTTTCGTAGATTTCGGTGAAAAGTATAATAATTTTAACACTCATCAATTGCATAAAGATAATCTTGAGATGCAGTTATTTTATTATTTTCAAATATTTTTTTCTACTCTTGTCTTGTTGTTTTTTTATAATAATTATAATTATGATTACAGAAATCGTAGTAGGGACTGCCAGCAGTGATATCAGAAGCCATTTCCGCAATTACAAGCTCCAAAGAATCTAGAATAAACAAATAAAGATTTTGGCTGTACTAGAATAATATAGATTTATAGTAATGATAATGTATAATATTATAGGTACTGCTCTGTACAGTGTTCTACATATTATGCGGTGCGCTTTTTTTAACTATTGATAAAAACTATAGTTTTTAATTTACTAATAACTTGGCAATTAGGTACATATAACAAAGATTCTATATGTATTAGTATATTATTTTAAATATAATATCTTACTTGCTCCAGAATTACCTCCAGGTATAGTTGTACCACTTTTATCAGCAAAACCCTTCTTAAAAAAAGCAGCTCTTAAGGATTTAGCTGTGGTACATAGTTTAAAAAAAATGTATAAGAACAGTGGATATGAAAAACTTAAAAAGCTTTTGGTTTATAAAATAAAAATGTTACTGACTTGTCTTGAAAACATTATCCATATATTCCGCTGTAAAAAGGTGAAATATTAAATTTTATCAAATTTTAACTACCTTAAACTGTTAAAATAAGATAAGTACCGTTATCGTCTGCCAAAACATTCACGAAGAAAAAATATATAAATACACAGAAGAGTTTCATTTTTATCTGCGAATAATAATAAATAAAAAAACATTTTATATTAGCCATAGTTGCCTCCGATTCAAAGATGAGAAGGTTATGGTTTTGCGAAGCAGTTTTAATATAATAGATAAATTTATATGTATATATATATATATATATATATATATTATGTACTTATACATTTTTTTACCAGACTTATAATATTTCCTAGACTGTTAAACTAATTTTTTTGTATAGGAAGGTAGAAATATAATTTGAAAGGTACATAATTTGGCAAAAATTACAGTTATTTCACTATAATAAAGGTAGACAAAAATAAATTTAATTCTATTAACTATTTAAATTGTACAAAAAAAAAAGGGTATTCATTTCTGTCTAATATACGTGTACAAATTTGTTTTTAACGTTTTGTTTTAAAATCGTCAGAAATAAATTTAAAAACATGCAAAAACATTTTTTTTTTAATTTTGACTTAACAATAATAGCAGATGATGAAAACATTTCAATTTTCAAATCATTTACTTTTAAAAATAAAATTGAACACGTATATGAATTTAGTTCTCTACAAAGTTATTTTTTTATATCTTTGTACTGTGGAACCTTTTTGAATAATGTCTAATTTTGTTAAGTATTATGAAAACGATTTAAAAAACTACCTTGTTTCACTACATTTCCTTTAGTATACTTCAAGCCAAATAACGAAAAACCCCAAGATGTATTATTGAATTATCTCCAAAATTTGGATTGTGTAATACGTTGATTAAGAATCGATAAAAAAATAACTAGCAAAAAATAATCATTATTATTGTTCTTAAACACTATAACTTTTGACTCTTAAGCGTAATTAAATTTTTTAGAGTTTAATAGAAATACTTACATAAATTGAAGAGTTGGTAAGGTTTCTTGGACAACAATCGACTTGTTAAGCTTTTGAAACTAAATGTACTGCTTGCGACTTATGGATGGGCTTTATATCGACCGAAAAATCACAATCTAAATATTTTTTTGCAATACAAATATGGTTATTTACTTACAGAACTGGTTCATTCTTTTTTTCCTTTTTTTTGTGATTTATCGCGTATAGATATACATTACTTAGAAAGCGGCGTGTGGACTATGTTTTTCTACACAATACGCTTAAATAAAAAAAATATATTATTTGACGAAATAGTATTTTTTTTTTAAATGTTATTATGGACTTACAAAAACTGTTTCAACTGTTCCAAATATTGAAATTTGAAACAACTTTACCTTCATTGAAATACTAAAATTCGAATAACATCCATTTATAATGATGTGTTATAATTAGTATTAAAATTGCCTAATCATTTTCAGCAATATTTTATAACAAAGTGCATTATGCTAATTATGTTTAATCCAAAACAATGGCTAGACCTTTGAGTTATTAAACGATCTCGAATTAATTGACTTGACGGCTTATCGGATGGGTTAATGGTTAGGATCACATAACTGTGTGAAATTAGAATTTTAATCAACCTCAACTGTTTTATCACTGTAGCTACCTTGAATATAAATGATCAAAATTTACAAAATTATATTTGTCAACAAAATGTGAATAATAACACTATGATCGTCTTCTATATGCTAAATGCATGTAGATGCTAAATAAATATTTGTTCAGACTTTAACGCCAAAACAGTTCACGAAACTGTCATGATCTACTCTACAAGGTTCTACTATGAACTCAATGGTCATCCGAACCTCTCGTTTATAACCACGCTTCTAGTCCACTATCAGACATCTTGAAGTCTTCAACTTTGAAGATATTTTACGTCCTAATACTGTATCACACGAAATTTTCTCATCTATCATTGTTCGTCGACAATTCGGCTTCTATAAGCTAGCCCAAGGTCATCTCACTGCGATCAATATAATATTACAGTTTTTTCAAAAGCATAAACTACGCAACCAAGCAAAAAAAATAAAGCATATTACTTCGAATCAGGAATTACTTTTATCGTTTTACTCTTAAATCAATAGGAAAATCAAATTTTACCAAAGTCTTCCTCTCTCACCCCTCTTCCTTAACAAAAAGTTTAATTTATTAAAATTGTTCTTTAAAACAAAACATTACATAAATGAAATGAAGCACATTTAAACTCGTATAAATAAGCTTTAAAGGCTATTCAAAAATTCGTAATTACCTTGGTCTTCATTGACTTCAGACAATTTGATTCCTGTAACAACTACATCAAATCATTATGCATTATGAGTTTTGAGTTAAACCCGGTTTATATAATATAACAGTCACTCTATAACTGAGATTATTTAGACCAATTAATTAATGCAAAATAATATTGTGTAAATGTTAATGTATTTATAATAGCGATGTTTGAATAAACGGTTTAAATTATATTTCGAATGATCATTAAAAGCTTAAGCATATAATATATATACCTTAATGACTTTATATTTTAATTGGATATTGTAGAGTTACAAATGTTTAGGTAACTATCAATTTTCAAATGTTATATTTACCTAATTTATATTCTATTTCTTCTAGCATAATATACTAACGTAACGAATAGCTTTAAAATTAAAACAAAAAATTAATTTTATTTTACCTACACATATTTGTATTATTAATATCGATATGTCATAATGGTATTAGTCAATAGGTAGTTAAGTATATTAAATATAAGTATACTCAGGCCTAATAAGACTAGGGCCTCGAAAAAAATTAGGCTTAAAGAAGTAATGTGAAAGCGATTGTCTAAATGGTCATTTTTCAAAAACAGTAATTTAACCCTTTCAGACTAGCGTGCCATTTTAATGGCATAACAAAATAATAGCCGTTATAAAATTAATTTCTTTGTGTAATTTATTTTTATACGTAAAAACATGTGTAGAATAAGTTAAAAATGATAAAAATGTAGTACGGGCAAAATATGAAACGATAATGAAAGATTTTTAATAACAAAAAGGTTTGCTGAAAGTTTTTTTTTTCGTATTCTCTTCCATTATAAAAAAAAAAAAAAAAACAAACACTAAAAATCTTATATATTTTTTTTCGTATCTGAACTGATATTGTAAACATATTATGATATAATATTGGAATTATCATTTACCGTTATCGTTTTATTGTACAGGGTGGACCATTTAAACTTTCGGGATGTTTTGTGGTAATAATTTAAAAAAAAACCACAAATTAATAATTTATAATAATTTTCCCGTTTATTTTAGACGTTGGAAATCTGTTGTGATTATATTTTAAAAATATTATCGCGTAATTAACATATTCATGTTAATTGATAAAATATGATTAATTCAATTACCATAGATTAATTGTTATTATTTGTTGTACGAGGTACCTGTACGAACTGCAATATCTTTAATATACTTTAAATTTTAATATTTTCTTCGTTTCTTAACTCTATAATATGTCTAAGAACGCCTCAAAATGTGTTGTGTCTGGTTGCTTATCAAGAAGTAAGCTGTCTGCAAATATGCTCTAAATATTACTAGTAATTTTCCATTTGAAACAGCTTAATAAAACAAATAGTTCTGTGCATAATAAATGAATAATTGTGCAAAATGAGAAATTAATCAGTTAAGCTAATTGGTATAAACAACTGTGAACCGTATGTTATGTACTAAAAGAATTATATTTGTGCATAAATATTTTTAAATTAAATATATTTGTATTTTAAATACAAATATTTTATATTATTATTTTACACATTTTCCTATGGACTATTTTAGTCGTTGAATAGAAAAACTAAATGCCAACGCATATCCTCACAGTGGGATTCCCGCATTGCATTTTCCAACAGGTAAGATTGCAATTATCTTTTGATTTCTTTTTGTATACTAATTAATATGGTTGAGTATCAAAGTTTCTAATTTCAAAAACCGCTCTGTCTCCTGGTTCTATTTATTAAAAATAAGTAATTACTGCACTTTCAATATCAGTCTTGTATTGTTATAAAATAAGTTTTTCAAAGGTTATACTTTAATATTAATAACATTTATTAATACGTTAATACGAAATGTAGTGGCTCATAAAATAATGCCCATTAACGTATTGATGGAAGATCGACATAATGGGCAAGCAAAGTTATCTTCCAACAATCTTCTGGCACAATTGTTGCAGAATTTGTGGCAGCAAGGCTGAAGCTGGTCAGTGGTCTCGCTCTTCATACAGATACAACAGATCTCCAAAATGTCTATTAAAAAGTTTGTGTTAGTTATTTAGTAGTCGAGTCCATTAAAAATTTGATGTAATAAGCTAATGCTTGTTCAGGCAAATAAGTTAATTAAGTAAACTGTTTCTTAGATTTAGGGCTTTGTATCTGTTAAATTTATTATTATAAATAAATGAAATATTCTTAAAAAATCTATCTATATGTTTGTATTCATTAGGCATAACAAATACTATAAAGTCCTCCCCCCAATTGGTTAGTTGGTTATTATACATTGATCGTTACAAACATTCGATAGTGAGCAAGGTCAGCCGTTGCAGATTGTGCTAGTGGACTTTTTTGTTGTTAAAATAAGTAAAAAACATACTAGTTTAGGGTTAGTTTTTATTTTTATATTTAATTTTAAATAGTCAGCACAATACAATAATTAAAATGATCATTTTTAATTTTACCAATAATTTAATTTTAATATTGATTTTCAGTATATTTTCATTTAGTTTTTATCTATACCCTAATGTTTTTGGAATAAGAAAACATTCAAATCTATCCAGTTTTGAATAATTATTTTTGGGATTATTACGTGTTTTAAATATTAAGTGAGGAAGTGTACTTTAGTAGTGTGCTAAAAGTACTGTTAAACCACTTGGTAATAACTTGGAAGTAATTAATCAAACCTAGTTATTAACCAGTCAAAACTGACTGGTAGAATATTATTTTCAAAAGTTGCCATAGCTATGAAAAATACTGAAATAGTTAGATTCAAAATTATTTATAACAAAATTTGGTGATCACCCAGTATTTATAATTGCTACTTTTGCTATTTTTGTTCTAGGATTCATTATTTATATTACCATGGGCTGCTGGCACTTGCTGACCTCTTGTTCATTGTTATCATCAATATTTTGCCTCTCCGGTAGAACTAGAATACACCAATGAAGTAAGTAAATAGTATTATATTTTTATAATTTGTAATTAATTTAGTTCAAAAAAATATATTAATAAGTTACTTACATGGTTCTGGTATTTGGCGAGGAGGCCACACGTCCTCCTCTTTAATAATAAATACTATTAACAATTTTCAAATAAACTAACAATTAGTAACCATTTCAACGTTTGTGAACGAATATGCAAACCGATAAAACAACTATGAAATAAGGTATTTTGTACTTAGTATAGAAACCAAAATTAAAGTTATTTTTAATCTCAAACTGTTTATTTAACAATTTGTAATTCAATTTTGTTTTACAAGAGACTTGGCAAATTACATTCATTAGTATACTTATATATTGTAAACACTTAAGTTATAAATATTATTTTTACCTTCAGGTTTAATAAAATCCCTTCAATTATAGTTTGTAATTTAAATAAATATACAATTGATTTTTTAAGATGAAAAAATGAATATGTCCATTTGTTGAATAACAGTTTATTTTATTTTTTTTGTTATTTGTCAATAAATTATTGTATTTATTTATTTTTTACTAATAATTAGCAATAAACCCAACAACATTTTTAGTACATTACATTACAAGCTATATACATAATAATAAAAATAAAAAATAAACGTCACCAAGAACTTACTTTCCTCGTCCATGCGCTCTAAGCCATGGTCGATTGGCTTGATCTAAAATTAAAACAATATACGTTTTTTTGATGCATGACTTGTCGTTTTTTTGTTTGCTTCAAAGAACTCATTAAAAATTTAAATAACGTATTTAAGGGTATAAAATAATAACTTGTGTGAAACGGAATTTACAATAAAAAAGATCAAGTATCAGAATTAAGCCCATATACTTGTTTCCTTTTTGTTAAACGAA